ACATCCTGGTCACCTCCCGTATGGATTACTGTAATGTGGTCTGCATGGGACTGCCCTTGAAGACCATTCGGAAACTACAATGGTGCAAAATGCGGTGGTGCAGGCAGTTACATGCGCACCCAGATCTGCACGTTACACCTCTGCTCCGTGACCTGCATTGGCTACCAGTTTGCTCCTGGATTCAATTCAAGGTGCTGGTGATGACCTATAAAGCTCTACCTTGCAGGGGGCCAGGATATTTGAGGGACCCCTCACCCCAATCACATCTAACCGTCCCATCAGATCCGGCAGAAAGGGCAATGTTGCGGATCCCGTCTACGAAGGAGTGTCATCTGGTGGGACCCAGGAGGGGAGCCTCTTCTGCATGACCCTTGCCCTTTGGGACATCATCCCCCTTGCGATGAACCTGGTCCTGACCTTGATTTTTAACCTTGTAAGCTGCCTAGAGTCACGGCAGCGAGACGAGTGGCCCTACAAATTTTCATCATCATCATCATCATCATCATCATCATCATCAGTAGTAGTAGTATTGGGACTGGCAACTCAGTCATTGAGCGAAGCAGTCGCTAAGTCACTTCTTTAAGTATCTCTTTGTTTTCGTTTTCTTTCCCTTTGCTCTTTATTGCTTTCAACACCTTTTTCTTTATCGTCCTTATTTCTTTTTCTATATTGTTCTGTGTTTCTCTTTAAACTTTGCAGAAAAGTTTCTTCAGCTCCCAGCCAGGGGAGAGGAGCACCTCTTGTCTCCCCTCAGCCAGCCCCAGAGGCACCTGCTCGGCCGGGGAAGCCTCGGCGCAGACCCACGCGGCGTCGCCCCGGGCGCGTTCGCCAGCGTTTCCCTCCTCTCCGCATCAAAGGAAAGGGCACCTCCTGCGGGCAGAGGGGGAAGGCGCTTTCGTGGATGAGCTCCCACTGCAAGGCCACAACACACGGTTGCGGCCTTCGTCTCCTTGTGTTTCATTTCTCTTGGAGTCCCACGGATACAGCCTGTCCGGTCAGCTGGGATTATTGCAAATGCCCCACGTTCCTAGAATGCTTTTTCCTCCCCTTGTTCCCCAGTTGCCAGTTTAACACTTCAACCCTCCCCTCCAAAATCCAATATTGTCTCATGGGATTCATATTACATTACATGTTATGTTATGTTTTATGTTTTATTAGGATTCATATTATATCATAATAGTTGTTGATGCTCCTCTTCTGACTTTGTGGAAAGTTGAAATCTTCCTGCTGCCCTTGCTCCGTTGCACGAGGGCCTGAAAATGAAAATACTCTCTAGGAGGAGAGAGAGGGGCCATCGAGCCAGGCTTGACTCCTGGGCACTTTGCCCACCCGCTGCCTCCCGCAGGCCTCCTGGGGACCAACCCAGCCCCGCTCTGGCCCACCCGCCTTTGGTGTCTTCCTCGCCACCCCTCAGTCTTGCCAGCCACACTCCCTTCTCTAGTCCGCCCCTGCTAGTTCCTCTGGACCAAAACGTGCAAGGATGTGCTTGTGGATCATTCCCTCGAGGGAGCAGTCGCTCCCCTTCTGGTGGATTGCTCCTTTCTGTAACGCTGAGGTTGCTGTTGTTATTGATAATACACCTTTCCACCCAGACGGCATAAAAAACTGTAAACAACAATAAAAAAGAAAATATAAACAGTTACAGATACAACTAAATAGTTAATCTGCCTTCCCGCAACATCAGTCGGTGATCATGTCCAGGGCTCGGGAAGGAGAGAGAGGAGTGATCCGCTGTCTTCTATGGGAGGAACTTTCGGGGATTTGAAAAAGACCATCGTGTCCCCCTTCGGTCGGTCTTCCCTTCCTTCCTGACTTCTGTTAACACACTGAACCAAACATCAACTGAACAAACTGGTTTTCGTAAGAAGGGAACCCACAGGAATTAGCCCAGGCTTGACGCTGCTGGGTCTTCCCCTGCCCTGAGCAGGACTTGCTTTCCTCCAGGGGCTCAAGGGCACTTGGGCATCCCTTTGCAGCAGCACCCTGGACGGGCACGGCCGAGCCCCTTCAGCGTTTCCACCGGAGGCGTCGAAGGGGAATGACGGGGCGGTTCGGGCTGGGGCGGCCCCCTGTCCCCGTGGCCGGGCCGGGGGCTCCCGGAGGCTGGCAGCCCTGCCCCGTCCTGTTGAAGCCGTGGGAAGGGGCAGATCTGGGGAGGTCGGAAAAGGCCACTCATGGACGGAAGAATAATATACCTTCATTTGTGCATCTATACTGAAATACTGGATTGAATTGATTAAGTGAAATTACTAAAGCAATATTTGGACAATATCCTTCTTCACAATAATTAAAGACTCCTACTGGCTGCCCAAGAATCCCTGGATCATATCCACGGCTGGGAAAGGTTGGGGGGGGGGAAATCCTTCAGATTCTCTTATGCGCAGCATAAAGAGATTTTACAAAAGCTCCAAAAATGTTTTTTCAATCTGTTTCAGATAGAGTGTGCTGAACCTATTGTGTATCCTTTTGTGTCTGATTTTTTTTTTTTTTTTGGAGATCTGATAGAGACAAAAATATTAGAAGCAGATATTAGGGCAACAAATTTGGGAAACGAGGGAGGGAAGCTCGTATTGTTTCCAGGTCTCCCTTCTGGGGAGCCACAGAAGGGCAAATTCACCTCCAAATTAATTTCACAGCCAGAGAACGAGGGAAACAGCCGTCCTTTCCACACCCTGCAATATTTGCCTTACCCCCGGAAAGTGGTGAGAGGGCATCTTGTGACCCAGAAATAACAAGAGGAGGTTACTCGTCCAGGCAGCAAAGGAGAGTCTAAAGAGAGCCGTTCATTAGCCTGCAGGGTCAATGGGCTTATATGCTCCTTTTTATTCCTTTTTTTTAAAAAAAATTCCACCCTTTTTTTCTATCTGGCGCGCTGGAGAGAAAGAGAGGGAGGGAGGTCTCGGACTCTCTGGCTCATCCCTCCTGGAAGCCTGGACGTCCAGAGCTGGGTCTGGGGTCCTTTTCGGGGGGGGCATGTTTTGATCCCATTTGTAAGCTGGCGAGGACCCCCCCTTCGCGCCAGCTTTCACCCGCCAGCCCAGAGGCAGAGGCAGGACGGCTCTTCACCCGCAAGGCTTCGCCCTGAATGGCGGAGGTGGCGGCCTTGGCCTGTCGGCCCCTGGAGCCCAGAGACGGGGGCCCCTCTCCACGGCCCCCTCCTGCGGAGCCCCGAGGGGCGGGGCAAAGGGGCGGGAAGCCCTCGGAAGGGGGCGGGGCC